TTTATATTTTCACCAGATTTACGTGGCTATGAGTTTAAAAGTATACCATTGGCGATGGCAGTTGATTGAGCACAAAAGGAATTACATTTTGAAAGTGAATGTAACTTAATTAATTTGTGATTCGTGACAATAACAGAAAATACAGGTTGTGCGACAAATAATCGCGTTTGGTCGATAATGATACCTCGTTTCCATGGTAAGCAGGTATTCTGTTATCAAGGGAAATTGTCAAAATGCACTTCTGATCATATTCTTCACTTCTTATATACACATCGGTTTACTTGTCTTGAAAATGTCCTTTTATAAAGTAATGTTCATTTCACTTGATACGGATACGTTTCCATGGCAACGAGGTATTTTCTCGGATGGCACCATATCCAAAATTGATCAGGGGATGCTTGCTACTGTACATGTGTGCCAAGTTTCATGCTTGCTTCCAAAAGTGCATGATTTTACCTCTTATCCGCTGGACTACTTGGAAACCGCTGTCGTATGTTTATATCAGTGGTTAGCAACCTATTTCAAGTGACGGACCGGTAAAGCCCGACTAAAATGTGGATGGCCACCTCTACACAAACGGATTAAGCCTATGCAGTTAATTATACGCATTAGGAATTTTATGCGATATCTGTATTTGTTTGCTGGCCATTAACAGTTCCCATATTGAAGACATGGTCGACATTGACAAACGTAACGCGTTTCTTAAATCCAGACTACTTCGACGTTTCGTTTTTGTAATTATCAATATTGGACACCAGGCATCACATTAATAAGATTTCGAGAAAGGTAACAATGCCTGTAAACCTTCTGACTCTGGCCTGGCTATTGATTGATGTTTGTTTTACCAAAACTATTTTTTTACCCGATGTGCTAACTTTGTGATTATCCTGATTCTGAAGTATCGAATTAGCGATTAGCGAACTAACTAGGTATCACCGGTTAGCTACGAGCCAGTAGCTGAGTAGTCACGTTCTTAGCAAGAATCATTTTGTTGTAGAGATCTTATACGGAGTGAAGAGAAACATACTTATACGGTCGTAGAGGAAACAATTGACCCAGCATTATTGTGACATACTGGTATGGCGATTGTTTGTGAAGTTAGAAATGCTGCTCTAATGCGTTGTGTTTGTCTGGTTTGCTCTTGTGTGCTGTTTTTGGTCGTAGGGTCAGTGGAGGTTTTATTACGGCCTTGTCCATTTTTGTGGTATGTTATTTAATTCACAACATCAGACGCGATTGACTACTCGAGACATTGCGATCGACGTGTTTGTCACCCCTGCCCTACAAGGACGTGAAGGTTCGATGTCTCTCTTTCATGATGCTAGACTCTTTGTGAATGCGAGGGCTTTAATATATCATGCCCTATTTTAATAATACAGACAACATCATATCCTGTGTCAACTATCGTGCATTTTTTGGGCTTGTTAAATTTTTGTACGATATCAATGAAGGCCCCGAGAAACGGCTTGTTGGAATATTCAAAACTAATGGTAAACGAACTACGGATTCGCAGCTTATAGTTGCCGTTAATCCTTTTCTTTTTTTTATCTTCAGTTTTGGTTCAGTTAAAATTCTACCTGTGCCTGACTCACTAATATCGATCAAAAGCTTTTGAAATATTTAGAAGTAAATTTTGATTTCCCGGAAAAATCATACACCAAACAAAACAATGAACACGCAAAGAATTTGAGAATGCAGTTTAACAGAGACCACTTGCTAACGTTATTTGTGAACGGCTTCAATTGTAAAAATATTTGTAAACACAATTTAATACTAGTTTAAGCTTTAGTTGCGCTATTAAGCAACAATTTATAAAAAAAAATATTTATGAAAAAAGTAAGAAAAAGTAGTGTTCTCTAAATACGTGTGATCAGTTACGTTCTGTTCAACTTGTCGGTATTTGAGATGCTCTCTGATTTCAAATGAGTCCGTTTTATGTGCTGCTTGACATATGTTTGTGAGGCAAATTTTTTTCCACATATCTCACATAAATACTGCTTTTCGATAACTGTGCCGGCTAAATGCCATTCCACATAATTTACAGATAAACGGCTTTTCACCTAAGTGTGTACGCATATGTAAATTCAGTTCGCATTGTTGCACCTTGATAACGCCACATATTTTACATTTAAATTGATATTCATTGGTATGTCTTCTCATATGAAAATTCAAACTATCTTTGCGTGCAAATAACTTATTGCAAATAGCACATTTAAATTCTTTATTCTTCGTATGAGTGAGCATATGTTTAGAAAGATCAGACTTGCCGATGAAGGGCCGTTCACAGATTTCACACACAAATTCCCTTGTATGTTGATTCATATGTTTTGTCAAAATACCTTTGCCACAAAATCCTTTTCCACATTCATCGCATTTGTATGGTCTTTCTTTCTCCTGTATGTTGTCGCATGTGAATAGTCTTACTTTGAACATCGCTAAGTATTTTCCCGCAAACTTCGCATTTCTGTAGATTTCGTGGATCATCGGGAAAGTGCAATCGCAAATGGCTTTTTAAGTGACTATTCTGAGTATGTGTCTTGCCACAAATTTCACACTTGTATGGTCGTTCTCCAGTGTGTGTCGTTTGATGATCTCTGAGATGGCTAATTCACCTAAAACTTTTACCACAAATACCGCATTCGTACAAATTACTTTGTTTCTGTTTCAATTTCTCCATTCCATTTATTAGTATCTGATTGACTTATTGCATCTCGGCATTGAATAAAAAGAATTACACACATATTATATATATTAGATAAAAGGTATTAGATATTTTTCTAGAATATAAGATAACAAAAGCCACCGAGGAAGTCGCAGTTACATCTAAGCTAACATGATAAAATACAGTCTGTTGCAAACTAAATATCGATACCCACGACAGCTTTGACTTACATAGCGGCAAACTCGTCGAGAACGTAAGTGAAAGCGAGTTTATCTTTCATGACGCTAAACTCGTTAACGCGAAGACTTAAAAATGGCTTTGATAATCGTGTTTAATCGCAGATAATTATTATGATAAAATAATTTTTAATAATATTGAATGTGAAGTTGAACTATTAATTATAAATTGCGCAAAGTCAGCTATTTGGGAGTTCAGAAATAGTGTTAAATACGATGAGGTTTATCAGATGCAGTGCAACATGAGGGCTATTCCCAAATGCAAACTCCTACTCATACTCCTAAGAATTTGACACTCGAACTGAAGTATTTCAACGGAATCTGTATGATTCACATTTTTGCTGAAATAGATATATTCTATCAAAGACACTACTAGCGCCCTTGAGTGACGCCATATAGACATAAGAACCGCAAATTTATCTCTTATACTTCGCCCATTCATACTATATGGTCTCACCACTCAAAGGCGCTGTATTTGCGCCTAAATTTGGATTTCATTGTTATGTATATGTTTATTTGGTGTTGTGTTGTCTCCATTTATATATATTGTCTTGTCTTATAAACTCCCCTGTATAAACAGTTTTGTATACTCCACCCTTACCACTTTCACCACACCAAACGACCCATTTCCCCACCTTGCACAACACAACTGTCTGTCTATATAAGGGACCATACTATACATATTTAATCTAATGTTTTTTGTTTTATATTTGTTAAAAAAGGGTGCGTGCCGCGCATTTGTGTTTTAGGCCAGTACGGTCTTGTGCATGCATCCCGTCTTACATAATAATAATCGTTAATTTATTTTTTTATCACTATTACGAGACGAATAAACATACATACATACATAGGCATCATTGAATTAATGCCAAGCAAGATTAGGTGATCATTAAGATCTTAATGTGACAAAGAAAATTTATTTCTTGATGAAACCAACGATGATATCCTTCAAAAATCTAGAATGGTTTGATAGTATTTAATTAAGTGAGGATTTGCATGGGTTTATGGATCACACACATATATTTAGGTCAAGTGTCAACATACATAGTCGGGGGAATGGGAAAATCCTAGCAGCATGATAAGATTTTCAACTAATTTTTCAATATATTTTTTTTTCATGTCAATCTAAAATATATAACTATGTGTCTGCATTATGGTGGCTTATGGATAACTTCCAAATCAAATGGACTTACGATGAACAATGGAATATCAAAAAAGCTCGCGTGAGACGTCTGTACTTATATTGGTCGACCTGTACACTGATGATGGAGTCTCCAATAAAGCATAAACCGTCGGAATATACGAGCATCCACAGCGTGCAAGGGTCAAATTCGAATAGACCTTCATGGGGTACTTACTAAATTATCGCCAGTCAAACAAGGCTCAGGTTGCAAGTACCCCAATGCTGGTTTGGGAGACGGTAAGAAGCATGTTAAAGTTACATCATTTCAAGAACCCCATCATAGTAAACCGAAGAAGTATTAAATCGCCCAGTGATTCTTAAAAACGTTGACGTACGGGAGGACGATGTGTATGAGCTGCAAATTCTGACAAAAAAGGCAGCTATTTCTTGGAATCGCCTAAAACGTTTAAAGTCACATCAAAAAGTGACAGTTGCTGAGTATCCAGGAAATAAAAGAATGTGATGGGGGAAATATTTCATTTATGGCCAAATTTGTCAATTTATATCCAAATGAAAACAAAACAAGAGAAGACAGGGGAGGATGCATAGACGAAATACTATGGGATGGAATGGACACAGTGTTAGTGAAGAAAAAAGCTATGCATCTGAGAACATGGGGCACAGCATGTTCAGAGCCATTATATAACTAGTCTGGAAGGCCGTATACTGACCTGTTGTTCACAGCGTCATCTAGTGTTGGCGTGGGTAATTCATAACCACGGCGTCGTCTGCTGTATATTTTGGGCTGCTCGCTGTTAAACGTATTCAAAGTTCGAATGAAAATGGATTTATCTGAGGAAGAAATGCTTGAATTTTTTGATGACATGAGTTATATAGTACTGATTGCTTATTGAAATAGGTTTTGATCCTGAAAGAATGAATAGTAAGAGTTTATAGTACCATAGTTTAATATGTGAAAGTAGAGACCGTTTTTGGTTTGCTAAAAATTTGGTCAGTATTTTTACATCACATTTGTTTTGCTATATTCAGGCACTTAGGCACTGTTTTAGACCCGATTTTATATATTTCACAGCTTGATGACGAGATAGAAGGAAAATGGGGCATAGGCTATCTGTAGTAGAAATCGACTACGGAAGTGTTAATTGCAAGAAGACACTGCAGACTGCATTGAATGATTTGAACATCACATTAAATCAGGAATCATCACCATGGGCAGTTGTTATAGCGGATATGATGGAAATTTCTAGAGAAGAATCCAGAAGTAAAATGACAGCTAAATACATTGAAAAATTGCAAAAGCCATAGCCCATATTCGAACAATTCTGAAATCTCTCATTTGGACCTAAAACGCATAATCAAAATTGCAGCACCGAAAATTATAAAAAAAGCGTTTCAAGTAACTGAGCCATTCATGCAAACGTTAATAACCAAAGGCGACAAAAAGGTGATTGAGTACCTAGCTGGGGGATTGCTAAAATGGGGAATAAAGCGTCCAGGTGGAGAAGGTGCTTTCTGGTGCCAAAACCAAGCTTCGAGACTCGATCTTCCCAATTGCTTTGAAGAGCGTAATAGAGGCGGTATCATATCAGCATCCGAAACATTTGTTCTCTTCCTAATCTCTGTGGAAAGCAAATTCCTGTCTCAAGTATGCAAAAGGGTAATAGATGAACGGCGTATTATCGGAAATATTGACATGGACCCTTTCAGCCCCAGTGAATCCAGTATTCTAACCATTTCTGTGAGAAGATTTATTCGAACAAGGACTGAACTGCAGAACAAAGTTTCGAGAAGAAAATATGGACCCAAATCATATGGACTTTGCGATGGTTTGAAAAATTGTTTTTCCAAATAATCTCATTATTACACTATAATAAAAATTAGCCAACAAAACAATTTCTACTTTGTATTTTTAGCATAAGAAATACAAAAAAAAAACTGAACAGGAATTTTGACTTAGATATGAAGAATCACACAGACTTGGTAGAGAAAAAATGACAAATGCAAAGACCAATAATTGATAGCTAATTTTAAAACATAGATGTGGTTCCACAAATTTGAATAAAATTATATGCGAGATAGGGGAAACTTTTCAATTTGATAGGAGGCATTTTGACAAATAAACCATCGATTAATATTCATATGAAATTTAATTTTGGATACATTATGGTAACTATTATTTAAAGCAGAGACTAGCCAGCCACTAAAATTAGAAACAAATTTAAGAAAATGGACTAGTACTTGTATATAAATCCGTATGCATGTATTTAAGCAGAAAGAAGTCAGCTTCTAGAAATTTATCAATCATTTTCAATCGCAACATTAGAACCAAAAACACTACTACTCGATTTTACAACATCTATTAATCTGGAGTTTGATGTATATAAACTAAAGGTGGGGTTTCCAGTACGGAAACCTCGCTCGCGTTGGTGACCAAAATATGCCTCTAGAGCAGGGGTCTCTAACTCAAAACATGTCGTGCGCCACTTTTTGAAATTTATTGGCCACGCGGGCCGCAAACCAAGAAATTAGGTACAAAAATGAGTATCTGAATGTATTGTGTTGAAATTACACTTGAATCTTACAGCAAACGAGACAGGGGTCTGCAACTACGGGGTCGCGACCCAAATTTGGGTTGCGAAGCACCTCGCTCTGAGTCGCAAAACAATTTCAATTATGCCATAATTATGAGCATCGCGTCTGTGTAGCGTATTTAGGTATAACAACTATATAAATCTCCGATTATAATTATGGATGTTTCCCCAAGTATACACTTCCTTATTTACTGCGGTGACATTGGCCAATCAGTATAAGTGCAAATTTTGACGTAATAATAAACATTTTAGAAGCGCTCCGATACTTTTGCCATTCAGACAGTCTGTCGTGGTTGAATTTTGGATTTCAGTTGCAAAGGAATATCCGGAGTTATTAACTGATGCAATGAATGTTCTGTTGCCATTCGGAACTACCTTTTTATGTGAAAGGACGTTTTCATACATAGAGAACAAATACAGAACAAGGCTAGAAGATCTTCGAGTTACCTTCTCCCAAATTAAATTGACATGTTGTGCTCTAAGCACAAAGCTTATAATTCGCATTAGTCATAATAAACGCTATTATTCATTTTATGTGCTAAGTTCCATTTATTTTATGCAAGAAAATTGATAGGGTCAATAATAGTCTTAAAATTGATAACTAATTTTATGCTTTCCAAATGCTTGGGTGGAAAAAATTAGAAGAATTTTTGGATCGCGCTGAAAAGTAGTTGCGGACCCCTGCTCTAAAGGGTCTTGGTTTATTCACCATGGTAAAACATAGCCACTGTCCAAAACAATACAAATAATCACAGCCATAGAGATAGATGCCATTCTCAAGCCATTTCTTGTGGCATCACTGAGCAGCATTTTCTGGCGATTAACTTCTCCCACTAATGGCCGACTGTATGCCTTTTCTTCCCAATATCCAGGTATTTTAGAAAACCTTTCTCAAGCCATTCTCATCTTTTATCATAGATGTTGTAAAAAGGACGAATTTTCTCTTGTCACTGTCTTGATTATGCACATGGAGACGCATACAAGTGTAGCAGATGTTGGGTCCTGTACCAGCATAAGAATATGCTATTTCACATTGAGAGCTGAGATGTCTGTATTGATACAATACCAAAATTAAATTCAACAAAAATACAACTAAATAAAAGTATATCTGACTAAATGCAAATATATCTTACCTTAATTTCAAGAAAATTCTGCCATCATCTTCTATTTCTGAAACACTTCTGGGAATCCATGAACTATTCGTGGAAACAATATCATATCCCAAACACAGGGTGAGATCAACCAAGTTTTTGAGTAGGATTGAAATTGCCGATGATATTGTGAAAGAATAAACTTCAGCGAAAGCGCAAGAAAAGGAAAATTGTTTCTGGTTAAATTGGCAAATTAGAAGGCTTATTTCCGGTGTCGCATGTAAACTGTGATAAGAATAGTATTTTGTGGGTGATGCCACAAACTTAATCCAACTTTTTTTATTGGCCCTTTGAATATCTTCATCCTTGAGATTATCAGCACAAATTCTAGCTTTTCCATCCTCAACTTTGCTTTTAAAGTAAGGAGAGTAGCGATAATTAAACACAATCTGGATGCAATAGAAAATTACTTAGCAATTAATATGTCAAAGTCATGAGTGAGTTGATAAATGGCTAACACTAGAATACAATAAAACACAAAATAAACAGTGAAAACTCATGACATCACATACAGCAGTAGCATAGCCTACACCATATTTCTGAAATGGAAGAATAAACTTTGCCCTTGCTTTGGATAGCCAAAATAAAATACGGTAAAATTGCGGATACCAAAAAAACGTGATGAAACTTTTGTGTCCATTCTTTTGAAGGCATTCCAAATTTGCTTTTCATACCATCTGGGACACGATGCTTGCTTGGAACCATTATTAACTCTGTACCGGTAACTAAAAAACAAATGTTACCAGCACCGGAGTTACTAGTAGCTTAGGATAGGATTCTAAACTACCTTTTCTGCATATACAGTCTATATTTAAGTTTAATAATAACAGTTTGCCTTTTTATTTCAGTTTTCTATATCTTGCCAACTTTGCGCAACTTGAAATGTGTAAACATGGTCTGAAAACAATCACACATTAACTGCATCAAACTACCTGATTCGGCTGTCCAGCAGACGACAGGGGTGTAAAACCCACGCCAACACCAGATGTCGCTGCCAACAACTCGGTGTCCTGCAAAAAAGCGAGAGCTTCCAGACTAGTTATATAATGGCTCTGGCATGTTCACGGGGACAATGACGGTTCAGACAACTGTTTATACTTGTATCAACGAAATTGCGGATATTGGATAAACATTAAAAACGGATGATACCCTTGAATTAGAAGGGGAAAATATTGTGGCATCGAATTTTGAGACGATACAAGCTCTGTAAGAATTGCTCTGGGGAAGTACGTGAAATACCATCTAATTTAGCATTAGGTAGGTGCACCGAATGCTCTTCAATGATGAAGATTTCAGCATGCAACCAAAAAACATCTGGGCTCATCACTTTCAAATGTGATGTTGGAAGACAGGATGATTTTCTGATGGAAAATGAACAGGGGTTTGGGTTAATAGAAGAGGACACAGACACATCTTCCAAACAGAACCTAGAAATATCGCTTTTGACCACGGCAGAGAATCACAACAGAACAAGAGAGTAATGCGGTTGCACGAATGGTTTTATTGAATCATTGAAACTCATTTTTTCTATCGCAATATATCCCGCAAATTTCTTTCTGTCTTGTCTAATTGAGTACCATTTATATGCCTCCTAACCTGTGAGTGAATGAGATCGTCCGTCAGTCAAAGTTCTTGATTCTGGGTGGCAGCAGGAGTGGAAATGGTACTAAAGTAGACCAGAAATCAACACGTTTGTATGATAAAAATTTTTTTAATTCGTTCCAAGTTTCTTTCTTAAATTCATTAAAAACACAATTTCCATGTATGTTTTTTCAGTCAGTGGGGTGAAACAAGTTTGTCTCATATAATACTGTTATATAGGGGATGACAAAAGTGCATTCTTCACTGCAGCAGTGTAGTTTTATCTTACTAATAATACGATAGACCACATCAGTTTTCGCAAAACACTTCTGACCAACATTCTACATTTTGTATGCTAGACCGGATTACAACCAAATCACAGTATTAAAAGAACTCATTTTCAGATAAACAGTAGGAAACATAATGACCAGATTGAATAGTCAATCCTCCGTGAGATACAACACCAACAAGTTTGTATTTGTTTCCTTTTAAATCAAGATTGGAAAAATACTGCAGCATATTAATATTTTTTTATGCTGATGATCAACTCTCCAAATCGCAATGAACAAAACAGTAGGCAATGTGTTAAACGAATAATTGACATATTTGAGTGAATTGCAATTGTGACATATTTCTTCTTGATGCTTTTAAAATCTCTTCAAGTTTTTTTCCTTGGTTAAACTTGAAAATGTTGATTTTCATTGCACTGGGGATATTAGAATATTCACCGCAGAAACAGATACTAAAAAAAGGCACATAGATTGCAGGGTAGTAACATCTTTATTATGGTACCTAATTTGGTCGTCTGAAACCTTAGATAATATTATACGAAGAAATTCAGCAGCATAAACATTTTATAGGGCCTAGCATGGTAATCTTGAACAAACAGAGAAAATTCGTATTCTGAAAGGCATCTTGTTCATTTAGCTGGTAAAAATAGCATTCTGCGTCTTAGGATATTAGTTTGCAGAAATGTCAGGCCTGTGATATTGAGCACAAACAAAAGTCAGGTTGTACATGAAGTGGAAGCCGTAACAATAATTGCAACACGCCGTTAACCCAGCAAATATTTTTTGCATTAGTAAGACCGCGACCACCCTATTTCAGAACATGTTGAACGTTGTTGGAAAGGTTGTAATGCTTCTTTCTTGGCATATTTATTGTTTCTGTGTTGACAGCAGAACTGTCTATCAAAAGAGCAACAAGATGAGCACAAACATGACAGCTCGCAGGCATACAAATAAAATGGAATAAGTTAATTTGACTGCAAAAAAATAACACAGTAACAGTAAACATGTAAATGAAATGAACTTGGTATGCTTTGGCATTAAGACTTACATGCGTCACATGTTAAAAATTATTGATGATGCTTCTTCCTTAGCATATTTCTGTTGTTTCCAGCAAAACTGTAGTAATAAAGCAAAAAGAGCATAAACATGAAAGTTGCGAGAATAAAAAGATATACGTTAGGTTAGACGTTAATTTTACTGCAGGTAATGGCATCGGTAAATGAATTGACTTTATTTCACTGTTAAACATTTGATATGCTCAGCACTTACACTTACCTGCTGCACATGTTGACTTTTTGTAATGCTTCTTTCTTTGCATATTTATGCCTTTGTGGTGTTTCCCGAAAAAATGTAACAAAACAGCAAAAAATGAGAACAAGTATCGCAGTGGTATAGACATGCTCATTACTGTCCCTATAAAAAAAACTTCAAATTCCAACTTCCGCTAAAGCGTTACGGTACATCCGAGTCACTATTGTAATATAACACCAAGTACGGCGCTATTCGCCATTCACCATTCCCCAAATTTGAGCAAAGCAAGGATTTCTATACGAACCACCGACGTTCGGTGGCACGTGATCAAAAAGAGGAGTGCCTGCATATGCGTCCGCAGAACGTTCAGTGACGTCATAGCAAACACATCTCAAATTTCACAGAGCTAACAGAAATATTTGAAATAAAAAAAAGTAATAGCCTGCTGGAGAAAAATTTCATCTTTAACCACTAAAAATTTCAAAGCAATTGGTCCAGTGATCAAGGAAAAAAGCGTTTTCCAATAGGTGTCCAAAAAGTGGAGTTACCCATGTTTGCTAGAAAATCGGAAAACAGAGAACTCACACACATGGAGATCAATATTATCGTTGGGGACATCGGTCTGAGAAAGTTGTTCATTGGAGAGAAAAATGGTTTAGATAAATTCGAGTCGACAATTAAAAAGTGTGCTCAAGATTTCAAAATTTTTCCCAAAACATACGAAAATAGGTATTTTGTACACATACCACTAGTGCTGTCCAAAATCGAATAATTGTCTGATTCGAATCGAATATTTTCGCCGATTCGAACCGAATATTATTGCGCAATCATAAATCTGTCTCTATTATACAATAAACGCCTGCCCTTCGATGATGTGACAACGTATGTGCAGTTACATCTGACTTACTGCTGGTATTTTGCAATACCATGTTTTCAGATTTATGAAAGGAGATCACACACTTGTATGAACTGGTGAACAAAAATTGGAGGTCTCTAAAATTAGGGTTTCAAAAAGTGTTGAGAGTAAAAATTGCACATATCAAAAATTGCACTTTCAATTCTAATGGATTCAGTTTTAATAGGGAATGTAAAGCCTCTAGATCAGCGTTTCCCAAAGTTTTTCGGCCACAAAACACTTACACTTTTTATCTCGCCTCGAGTCGTTGCAAATTTTCATCTTGACGAGTTGTTTATCAACGATATTGCTACATTACAATTAGTAAGTAGTAATTTATTTGCATTACCTCTGAATCATAGTGTTGTAACGTTTGAACAAGATTTTTGTCGTCCACTGTGTCGACGGCTTTCTTTAGATCAAGGAAAACCCAACAGACGAACTCACATTTACCTACATAGACATCAGCAAGATCGCTATATCTTTTAAATTGTTCTTTCTGTTAGTAAAAGCCTAGAAAACGATATAGACAACTCTTCTCCGAATGGCCGCACCACAAACTGTTTAGTTCAGATAACTGAAGAAGTGGAATAATGCGGAGGTGCAATGGGTCGTGTATTCAGATCAAAGGCCATATTTCTTACCGGAACCACAGCAGATAAGAAACCTATCGCAAGTAACGTAATTTTTTGATAACGGGGTCATGTTGGGATCAGGTGTGGCATATGCAAAATATTTACGCTATGCCGCCTAGAAGTTTTTGTAGTACTCGGCCCACAGGTACGGAACTGCTAGCCATTCCATAGTTCCAACTTGCTTTGTCCAGGATGGGGACTTTTTCAAAAACGAATAATTCTGGCTTTTGTGTCCATGTATTTGACCATTGCTCTCTTATATACCAAAGAGATTAAACATAGATCGCGTTGATGACTACCGTTGTTAAGAAATAAGTTACACAAATCGATTTTAAGTTGCCAGTGCTTGAAGATGGTTGAAGCCACAGAAAGGCTGTTAATTTGTTTCGCATATTTGTATACATATTTGTGATCGATTGCTTCAAGAAATGGCTATTTTTTCCAAACGACAATATTCATTAAAGCTATCTATATTTATGCTTCTTGTCGAATAAATAAATTGTCCCTTGTGGAAGTGGCGTTACTTTTAGTAGCTGCATTTGTTCATCATCAATTGCTTTTCCAGTGTTTTGGAAATAATTTTTTAATGATATTCACTGGCGATGAATCCAATTATTCATACCCGACTCCGTCTCGCTCGTCCGCCGATGTTTTCCGCTTACCACAATGCGCAAATTCAATATATTTGAGCAATGCCTATTTTATTTCCTTTTCAAGTGTCGTGTATGGTGGCCCATCGTTGTCACGTGTAAAATTTGAAAAAAAATGAAAAAATAAAATGAAAAAAGCGAAAATAAAAAAATAGTTGTGAAAAAACATAAAAATAATTGAAAAAAAAAGAAATAAAAAAAAAATTGAAATTAAAAAAAAAATTGAAAAAAAAAAAAAAAAAAAATTGGATAAAAAGAAAATAAAAAGGTTGACAACGATGGTCCGCCTCGTGGCCCATCGTTGTCACGCGTTTTTATTTTTGGAAAATTTGATGCTGCTTGGGACCAACGTTGTCAGGCTTAATCCTACACGCACAAATGTGTTTCCTGGGTTTCTAACTCA